AGGAGGGGGGCTCGGCGCAGAAAGCACGTGGCAGAATTAGACGGGCAGATCGGGCGGGATAGAATTAGAACTAAACGGCGGGTCGGGAAGGCGTGCCCAGGCGGCCAGGTCGCGCAGGCGGGTTGCTGAAGCGTGCGTCCTGCATGAATCGCGAGATGTCTTTCTGGCGATAGCGCGGTTCCCCAACAAATCGTCTCGAAATCCACAGCGAGAGCGTGACACATTCCTGAGTGTTGAGGGCGCGGCTTTTGAATAAATGGCGGGGAAGTCCCACGCGAGAGCGCGATTCTTGTGTACATTCGGAGAACGTCCCGCGCGAGAGCCTGATCCTTTTAAAAAATGTGAGGAAGTATCAGGCGGGAGCCGTTGTTGTTGTAACTCGAGGGGGCTGGGGGCGCAGTTTGAGGCTCAAGGCCAGGGTGCAAGCCCCGGGAGGGGCACTTACTTCAATTGGAAAATATGTGCGCAGGGCAGGAGGGATCAACACCAGTTATTCTTCAGAAGCGAGAGCAACAACAACAATCATGCTAATATTGTTCACTATTATCTGCTCGCGGGCCAGTCAACACGTATATCCCAAACCGTCGATGCCCGCCCCATTCGTCTTCGATGGTGCCCCCTTGGGGGTATATTTTTCCGACCTGCAACGTGTATTACGTGCAGCCCTTGAGGCAGGGGAAGAGAGGACGGATGGAAGGAAGGGACCAGGGGAAGGAGGAGGATGGAGCACGAGAGAGACAGAGAGAGCAGCAGGAGAGGGGGCTAGGAGCAGAAAGCACGTGGCAGAACCAGACGGGCAGATCGGGCGGGTAGACCCTAACGGGCGGGTCGGGAAGGCGGACCCAGGCGGCCAGGTCGAGCAGGCGGGTTGTTGAAGCGTGCGTCCTTTATGATTCGCGAGGAAGTCTCGAGCGACAGCGCGCTTGGGGCCTCTGTGGGCTGGGGCCTCTGTGGGCTGTGTCGGGGGCTTCTGTGGGCAGCGCGCTGGGGCCTCTGTGGGCGCGCTTGGGGCCTCTGTGGGCTGAGGCCTTTGTGGGCGCGCTTGGGGCCTCTGTGGGCTGTGTTGGGGGGGCTTCTGTGGGCGGCGCGCGGGGGCCTCTGCGGGCGCGCTTCGCGCCTCTGTGGGCTGGGGCCTCTGTGGGCGCGTCTGGGGCCTCTGAGGGCTTCGTCGGGGGCATCCGTGGGAAGCGTTCTGGGGCCTCTGTGGGCGCGCTTGGGGCCTCTGTGGGCTGTGCCGGAGGGTCTGCGGGCAGCGTGCCAATTACAGCCTTTGTGGGCTTACTCTCTGGGCCTCTGTGGGCTGTGTGGGGGGCATCATTGGGCAGCGCGCCGTGGCCTCTGTGGGCGCGCTTGGGGCCTCTGTGGGCTGGGGTTTCTGCGGGCGCGGTTTGGGCTCCTGCGGGCTGTGTCCTAGGGTAGGGCCTCAGTGGGCAGCGTGCTGGAGCCCCTGTGGGCGCGCTTGGAGCCTCTGTCGGCTGTGTCCGAAGGCCTCTGTGAGCAGCGTGCTGAGGCCTCTGTGGTTCGGGGGCATCTCTGGCCAGTGCGTCTAGGAGTAAATGGCGAGGGCGTGTCGACCAGGAACCCCTGTCGCCGCAGGTGGGCCTCCGGCGCCGCTGCTGACTTGCAGTCTTTGGCCTGGGGGTCTGGAAGTACAATTTGAGGAAGTATCGAACGGGAGCCCTTGTCGTCGTGGCTGGGCCTCCACAAACTTGATTGAATTACGAGAAAGTCTCAAAACCAGAACGCCGCTCCTGAGTGCGAGGGCCTCTCTGGCCAGGGCTCTCGGATTATATTTTGAAAAGCATCGAGCTTGAACCATTGTCGCCGTGTTTGAGCCTCCACCGACTTGCTTGAATTGCGAAAAAGTCTTGAGCGAGAGCGCCGTTCGTGAGTTCGAGGACCTTCCTGGCGCGGGGCTCTCGGAGTAAATCGTGAGGAAATATCGAGCGGGAGCACTTGTCGTCGTGGCTGGGCCTCTGCCGACTTGATTGGAGCGCGAGGAAGTCTCAAGCAAGAGCGCCTTTCTTGAGTTCGAGGGCCTCTCAGGCCAGGGCTCTCGGATTACATATTGAAAAGTATCGAGCGGGAGCCCTTCTCGCCGTGTCTGGGCCTCCACAAACTGACTGAATTGCGAGGAAGTCTCAAGCAAGAACGCCGTTCCTGAGTTCGGGGTCCTCTCTGGCCAGGGAGTCTCAGGGTAAATCGCGAGGAACTTTCGATCCGGAGCCGTTGTCGGTGTAGCCGGGCCTGCGACGACGCACATTTACAATCAAGCCAACGCTCGAGCAAGAGCATCGTTTTCAGAGAAAATGTAGCCGGCGTTGAGGCGAGAGCGCGCGGAACCATTTCCTGAGATCAACAACAATAACTCCCCATAAGTGAATAAGCAACAGCAGCAATAATCATTTAAGTCTGTTCGCTCTTACTGGTACGCAGGTCTTGCATTCCGTATAACCCAACCTTCGATACCCGCCCACTTCGTCTTCGATTGCACCCCCTTTCGGGGAGAATCTCTTCCTTGTCGGCCACTGACTGAAGTGCGAAGAGGTCTCGAGCGAGAGCGCCGTTCCTGAGTTCGGGGGCCTCTCTGGGCAGGGGATTTCGGAATACCTATGGAGAAATATCGATCGGGAGCCGTTGTCGCCGTGCGGCGCTTGAGTAAATTGCGGTGAATTTCAACGCAAGATTGCGATTCTTGAAGAAGTTGCCAGCGAGTCTCCAGCGAGAGCGCAACTCCAGAGCGCCGAGAGAGCGATTCTTGAAGAAACTATTAAGAAGTCCCAAGCGAGAGCGCGATTCTTGAGTACAATGCGATGAAGTCTCAGGCGGGAGCGGAGGTCCTGGCTAAACTGTCATGAAGTCTCAGGCGGGAGCCGCTGTTGTTGTTGTTGTTGTTGTTGTTGTTGTTGTTGTTGTTGTTGTTGTTGTTGTTGTTTTAGTTCGGGGGGGAGCAACGCAGTTTGACCTTTGCGATTTCTCATGATAATACAGGGTGCGAGCCCAGGGGGAAACACTTCAATTGAAAAGACACAATGGTCACCAGGATGGGGATCAACAGTAGTTATTGCTCAGTAGTGAGAGTTCAGCAACGACTCCCTCTTGATATTTCCGCACAGTGTATTCCCAAATCAAATTCCCGCGCGGGACCTCCTCACAATGTATCCAGGATTCGCGCTATCGCGTGGGACTTCCTTTCAATTTATTCAGACGCCGCGCCCTCGACACTGAGGAGTCACGCTCTCGCTATGGATTTCCTTGCGATGTATTTGGGGATCTCGCTGTCGCTCGAGATTTCCGCGCGAGTCATGCAGGACTCACGCTTCAGCAACCCGCCTGCTAGACCTGGCCGCCTGGGCCCGCCTTCCCGACCCGCCCGTTAGGGTCTACCCGCCCGATCTGTCCGTCTGGTTCTGCCACGTGTTTTCTGTTTTCACACCCCTTCCTGGTATTCTCTCGTGCTCCCATCCTCCTCCTCCCCACGGCAGGGGAACAGAGGACGAATGATCCGTCCTCTGTTCCCCTGCCGTACGGGCTGCACGAAATACGCGTTGCAGGTAAGAAAGATAGACCCCTAAGGGGGTACGATCGAAGACAAAGATGGCGGGTATCGAGGGTTTGGGAATTGCACGATTGATGGCACGCGAGCAGATAAGAGCGAACTGTCTTAAAATGAAAATTGTTGTTGTTGTGGTTGTTGTATTTCGGGGGCCAGGGGCCCAATCTGAGGCGCAAGACTTTCCCCTGTAAACGCCGGGTGCGAAACCCCAGGAGGGGCACGCTAATTGAACAAATGCAAGGTGCACATGGTGGGAACATCAACGTCCATATTTCATCAGTGAGAACGCAACAACGACATCATCCGACAGAACACCCAGTGTGGGATCGGCTCCCTGACCTTCTTCCCCCTTCCACAGGACGGGGGTGCCTTCGGCGACGCCTGCCCAGTGCCGTTGCTCGACGAACGCATCGCCTCCTTCTGCCTGCCGGCGCCGGACGAGGACGGACCTTCCGCGTCGAGCTACTACCCGCCCAATGTCCCCTTCATGTTCACCGTCTTGGCCGCGGTGCTTCCAGAGGACTCAGGGCCCAGAGGTGGAAAGGTTATGGGAGCTTCGAGGTTCGAGGTTTTCAGGCGTTTGCGACGGCTCTCGGCGGCTTTCCCGCCTCGGGAGGCCTTTCCCTTTCAGTGGCTGCGCTTCGTCGAGGGCGTTCCAGGGGGGGCCCAGGTCGTCCTGAACAGCAGCCAGAGGCCCGACTTATGACCCGAAGACCAAACGACGATCGGGCCCCTCAGAGGAGGAGAAGATACCCATACCGCTGCTCGTCCTGGAGGGCTCGCGTCGCTACGGCCGGGTGCTGTCCGAAATTGCGGTCGGAACGCACCCCAGGAGAGGTTTGGGGAGCAACGGCCGCTATCTTCTCGTCGACTACAGTGGGGGCGCGCATCAAGGAACCATCTGCTTTTCGTCAGGGTGCCCTGGGTTTCTTCGCTCCGCGCGCTGCGCGGTGACTTCCCGCGGCCGTCAAAGAAGCTGCTGCGTTCAGGGTGCTCCAGAATCTCCCCTCAGGTGCACCTCGCGCGGGGGCTTTCAGGGTTGGGTTTCTTGCGAGGGCTTCTTGCGGGCCGCGCCCGCACTGCACACGCAAGAGTGACCCGTCGCCGGAGTGCCCTTTGGTGCGGGCTCATTGGCCCCTCCCCTCTCGATTGCTGAGCGCGACGTGGTACAGTGAGCGGAACACTTAGGCTCGGTCGTTCCTTAGGCTTGCATGCGTTATTTCTCGTTCCTTATGCGCTATGTATTATATATCGTTCCATATGCGTTATTCCTTGGGAAGAACAGGGGCTTCGTTCCTTATGTATCGTTCCTTATAAGTCGGGCCGATGACTGTAGCAGCGGCCTGCGCGCTTGGCTCTGGCCCCCTTGCGCCCCCCAGAGAGCCGCGCACCCAAGGCCCCTCGCGTCCGGGGTCGATCTCTTGCGTACGGCCGAGAGGACGGCATGGAGACCGCTGCCCCCGACCCCACCGACGTGCTGTACTGCATCGCGGTCTGCTTCGACGACCTGCTGTGCATCACCGGCGACGCGCCCGGCACGGCCACCGGCGTGGGACCGTATGCGTATTGCGTGGTGTCGCGGCACCCGTTCGTGGAGGCCTTCGGCGCACTGCTGCTGCGGCTGCACGCCGGCGAGGCGCTGAGCCTCCGGCCACGGCCCAGCAGCGCGGCCCTGGGCCTGGGGATCTTCGGCCGATCCTCTTCCGCCTCGCACATGGACGCCGACGAGCCTGCAACCGCACGAGCAGAACAACTCTCGGAGCTCCGCGCGGATTTCTCGGGTCGTCGCCGGGCCCCCTCTGGCGGCGCCCGTGGTGCCGCCTTTGGCGCGCTCCGCGTGCCAGGGAAGGGGGCCCAGCGCCGATCCGAGAAATACGAGCGGACTTCGACAGACAATACTCATGCCACTCGCTCCTTCCCAGGCATCCGATGTCTTGTTTTTGTTGCTACGCGGGGTCCCCAGGAACCCCGACCCTTTCCCAGGACCAGCTTTTCAGCCTGAGTCGTTTTTCGATGGTCCCGGGCCCGGCGAGGACCCCGAGAGGCTGGAAATTGCGAAACGCCGCCGCCTCGAGTTTCTCGAGACGTTGGAGGCCTGGACTTCCTCTCAGGAGAGGCACGAGGGCTCCTGGCCCGTCATGAGGTCACGAGCGGCGACCAAACTCATCCGTATGTGCGCCCTCGCGGCCTTGACTCTGGTGCGCAGTCCCGCGGCTACGCGGTCACACGGATCCGCTCCGCGATGGGCATCTGCGAACAGAAACGCGCCATATCCCCAGGGTCGCTGCCCAGAGGCCCAGTCCGCGAGGCCGCGGGTACGGATACGATCCGAGGCACGGAAACCATCACGTCACTAATTTCGAGCCCCAGGGCCCACTGAGGCCCCAGGGGCCCCAGATCAGTGAAGTGATGCTTTTTACTTCCACGTAAGCACCCCGAAAGTCATCACTCCATTAAACCGAGCCCAGGACGAAAGTCAGGGGCCGAATTGCTGCTGTGATGCAACATAGGTCTCGTACATGATTTCGGCGTCACCCCAACATACTTATACTATATGTGCGTCGCCCCCCCGGGGGCGATGCGCACACCGAGAAATCTTATAGTATATGCGTCTTGGCGGGCGCTTTCTGGCCACGCCGCTCGGGAAACGATATACTACAAGATGGGTCTACTATATGTTTGGGTCGGACGCACGCCTCCAAGGAGAGCATACAGTACTAATATGCCTTTCTGCGTCCCATGATTGTTCGCCCTCGATGAGGGGCCGCCTCCGCCTCGCCGCCGCGCACCTGCACGCGGCCCGGCCGGTGCGGGAGGAGCGCCGGGCGTTGCGCAGGCCCAACAGCGCCCCCGCGCGCGACTTCCTCCTCTCGTCGTCGTCGTCGTCGTCGTCGTCGTCGGCGGCGGCGGCGTCGTCGTCGTCGTCGTCGCCGTCGCTGCTGTCGCCGTCGCCGTCGCTGTCGCCGTCGCCGTCGCCGTCGTCGTCGTCGTCCTCTTCCTCCTCCTCCTCGAATCATTCCTCTTCGTTCCTTCTCCTTATTCCTCTTCCTGCTCCTCCTCCTTCCTCTCCTGCCCACCTCGGCGGCGGGCGCTGCGCAGGCCCAGCAGCGCCCCCGCGCGCGCCCTGGCCGCCGGGCACGCCGGGCGCCTGAGCTCGAGCCCGTCGCTGCCGGCGTCGGCCGGGGCGGGGCCGGGCTGCCAGAGGGGCGGCGGGGAGAGCGGGTGGCCGCACGTGGGCATGTTCGTGTACGGCGCGAGGGCGGGGGGGAAGCTCAGCATCGTCTGCAGTCGGGCCCGAGGAGGAGGAGGAGGAGGAGGAGGAGGAGGAGGAGGAAGAGAAGGAGGAGGACGGGGAGGTGGAGGAGGAGGAGGAGGAGGAGGAGGAGGAGGAGGAGGAGGAGAGGGGGAGGAGGAGGAGGATGAGGAGGAGGAGGAGGAGGAGGAGGAGGAGGAGGAGGAGAGGGAGGAGGAGGAGGAGGGGAGAGGAGGAGGAGGAGGAGGAGGAGGAGGAGGAGGAGGAGGGAGAGGAGGAGGAGGAGGAGGAGAGGAGGAAGAGGAGGAGGAGGAGGAGGAGGAGGAGGAGGAGGAGGAGGAGGAGGAGGGAGGAGGAGGAGGGAGGGAGGAGGAGGAGGAGGAGGAGGGGGATGTGGAGGAGGAGGAGGAGGAGGAGGAGGAGGAGGAGGAGGAGGAGGAGGGGGAGGAGGAGGGGGCGGCGGATGGCCGCACGTAGGCATGTTTGTATAATTACGGCGCGACGGAGGGGGGAAGCTCAGCATCGTTTACAGCCAACCCGTATCATAAGGATGCGCGATAAGGATGCAAGGGCCTTGGAGGGCCAGGTTGACGCTCTTCGAGCGAGGCTGGCCAGCGAAAGTTGCTAAGGATGGGCCGAAGGGGCCAGGCTGCAAGGGTACGCTTGGGAAGGCTGCCCATCCTTACTATTAAATCGGGCCTGTCCCTCCACAGGAGGAAGATTCAAAAATTGTCAAAAGATAGTCTGGGGACCATCGTTTGACTATTTGGGGCTATTTCTAAGCATTTTCGGACTGTTGTTCACTGTTCTTCCAAAATCCGCCTGTAGGAGGACATGCCCGACCTAACCTTACAATGCTGGTTGACTGTGTAGTTGGGCCGAGGTATACGTCCGAGGCTGGTTCGGGGAGGGTACCCTTTTCTGGGTTGATTAATAAGCGTGGGAGGGTACCCCCCCGACAGGAGGTCAACCTCGCCTCGTCGTCGCGCCGCGACGGGAGTCGGAGCGCCTTCGGGGCGCGGCGGCTGCCCGCGACGGGGGTCGATGTGGGGCTGTCGGCGGGGGTGACGCCCCCCCGACGCCTGCCAAGAAACTCGGAGTAGTGTTCTTCTCCTGTGCATCCTGGGGAGGGTGCCCTTGGATGTTCTGTGTGGTGTGGCCGTCGGAGGGTCTCATGTTCTCGAGGGATGCTCTTCTGCCCCAGGTCCGACTGCATCGAAGCACCAGAAAACGGCACAAGCACAACTTCTCGGCGGTCCGCGCGGATTTCGTGGATCGGCGCCAGGCCCCCCCCAGCGGCGCCTGCGGTGCCGCCGCTGGCGTGCTCCTCGCGCCAGGGATGGGGCTCCAGCGCCGATGCAAGAAATCAGCACGGGCTTCCGAATGTTCATGCTTGTGTCATCCTCTCTTCCTCGAAAATCCGCACTGGGCCATGGTGTCTCAGCCCCGCCAGCCCATCCCCCAAGGTGGGGACAAGCCCCACGAGGGCCGAAAAGATCTGCATTGATCCCCATCCACGGGACTAAATCGGCCAGCCAAGGCCATGCCGCCATGCCAGTGGGGACGGGGACAGGTTCAACGATGCTCAGAAATTCTGCACCAAAGCTGTACTGCACGAAAGCTTCTTGGACGGTTCAACTTGTCACGTGGGGGTGTTGCGCAGACACTATCTCATCTCCACTGCTCGCGCCACTCGTTCACCCGCAAAGTGGACGATCTTATCTTATCACGGGGGCGGCCTCGGGTGGGCTTCCGGGGATCCGCGCGGACTGTTCGGACCCTTGCGCCGATGCGGGGACTCCGCCCGGACGCCTGTTACATGGGCGCAGCTCGAGAGTTGCGCAGACACCGCGCCACTCCTCCTCCTCCTCCTCCTCCTCCTCCTCCTCCTCCTCCTCCTCCTCCTCCCCCTCCTCCTCCTCCTCCTCCGTCCCTCCGCACAGTTGGCGATCATACCACGGGCCACGGCCTCGGGCGGGCTTTCTCGGGGGCCCGCGCGGGCTGCTCGGGCCCTCGCGCCAGTCCGAAGAGAACTCTGCGCGGACCTCCGAGAAAGTCATAGAAAGTCCGTCAGCCGGTGGACAAAATATCGCAAGTTATCTGAGCATTCTGAGAAGCAGCGTGCCAACTAGGATCAGATTTCATCGATCTCCGAGGACCCCCCCCATCCCCACATTCCAATGTTGACTTGCCTAATTTTGTCCTCCAGGACGAGGAGTGCCTCACCGACACCAACATTGACATGTAGGGGGCAGGGGGGGGCGTCGAGATCGTGTCGCAGTCCATGTGCAGCCGCATGCGTCCACGAAGAACTTGCATTTTTTCGTCCACCCACTGGTGCTCGTGCCGCCGTGTCATGGCGCCAACATCGCAGAGCGGATTTAGTTCGGAAAGCGATACACGTTGTTCATGTCTAATTATTCGAAGGTTCTTTGATTTCTGGGGGGCCAAGATCCTTTCGTTTCTAATTTTTCTATCCGGTGCCTCTTCCTGGCCACCAGGGGGCCAGGAACAACTAGAAACGAGCACAATTAGAGATGAGCACGATTAAAAATGAACGACGTGTAGGATGGGCCTGGAGTGTCCTGGATAATTTCGTTCCGCAATTCGAGGTGGACTTCGTGCGGATTTTCTGTTGGGCCAGGAGTGAAGACCGATCAAAGATCCACGCGAGCTTCACTTCGTTTTTGTTCACTCGCCGTGTCGGGGTAACTTGCCTTGGCAGGAATCCACGCAAAAATCCGCTGCAGCACGTCTGCGATGTCGGTGCCGCAGTTGGTCCCTCCAGGCGCGGCGCAGCCCGGCCCCTGCCCGGCGTGGGCGGACGCGCAGGCGCGCCGGCGGTGCGACACCCTGGCCGCGTGGGCCGGGCCGCCGCTCTTCGAGAGGCCCATCGGCGGCAACGGCGGCATGGACGGCTCGCACGAGCGACCCTGTCTAGGCCTCCTAGACGGGGTCGGAGTAATGGGGTCGGAGGGTCGCGCCGCATCGCTGATGCGGCTCGATGTGGGGTCCGATTTGCTTCACGTCGACGGCGCCGAGGTATCGCCGACGTCGGTGATGCATCGCTGGAGCATCACCGATGCATCGCCGACGCATCGCCGATGCATCGGCGATGCGGCGCGAGCCTCCGACCCCATCTACTCCGACCCCATCTATGAGGCCTCTACCCTTGGTGCGGGCCCTCTGGGATCCCCCGATCGCCGAACCCGAAGAGGAAAGAAAGCCATGAACATAAGCTTTTGGTGCTCCGCGCGGATTTCTTGGATCCGCACTGGGGCCCCTCGGTGGCGCGTCCAGCGCCGCCCCTGGCGTGCGGAGCGCGCCAGGGAGGGGGGTCCAGCGCAGACCCAAGAAATCCGCGCGCATCGCCAAAAATTATGATCATGCCGTTGTCTCTTCGTCTACGAACGCGACGCGATAGCAGCGTCTTGCGTGCTTGTGCTGAGTCCCCCCGCGGCCCCCCAGAGAGCCGGGCACCAGGGGCCACTCTTGCTCAGGGTCACTCTTGCGTGCAGCCGAGCTCGGGGGGGGCAGGCCCATGGGGGGGGGCGTGCGCATCGACCCCCCATCGCCGTCTCATCGCCGACAGGGGCACGAGGCACGAGGGCCCACCCCACCCACTAGCGTGCGGCTTCGCGGTCGGGGCCCGTCGCCGAGCAGCCGGCGATGTGCCGCCGGTTCCGGCTGCATGCTTACCCCTTCTGACCCTGAGCTGCCCCCCTCCCCCTGTGAACCTTAGATCGGGCACATCCCTACAGGAGGAAAATTCGAAAATGGTCAAAAAATAGGTTGGGCACGCTGTTTCGATTCTTGTGGTCCATTTTGGAACATTTGTTGACCACTCTTTCCTTGTTGTCCAAGATCCGCCTGTAGGGAGACATGCCCGACCTGAGATAAACCCCGACGTCGTGTTTGTCCATCATGGACCCCGAGAGGTCTGGACCACTCCCCCGGGAACGGCTTTTCCTTTGGAGAAGTTTTTTGACGGTCCGGGGGCCCAGCGAGGGCCCGCGGAGGCCGAAGATGTTCCAAAAGCTTCGGTCGTGAGTTTCTCCCAAATGGGCCGGCCTAAGGGGGAACTCGAGCTCCTTCCCTCGAAAAAAAGTGTCCATTGCTCCTCCCCCGCTCATCTTGCCCCCGAACGCCTCCTCTGCTGCGCACATCTGCGCATGGCTTCCTCTGTTGCGCATGGCTTCCTCTGCTATCCGCAAGGCTTTCTATCTTGCCCCGCACGCGAGTCCTCGGTTGCGCCTGGCTTGCTCTGTATCGCATGGCTTCCTCTGCTTGCGTCCCCTCTTGCGCATGGCTTCCTGTATTGCGCATGGCTTGCTCTGCTATCCTCATGGTTTCCTCTGTATCCGCATGGCTTCCTCTGCTATCAGCATGGCATCCCCTGTATTCGCATGAGTTCCTCTGTATCCTCATGGCTTCCTCTGCCATCAGCATGGCCTCCCCTGTATTCGCATGGTGTCCTCTGCTATTGCAATGGTTTTCTGTGGCTCTTTCACTGGTGCGCCGTCAGTGGTCAAACTCAGAGGAAAATGCAGTAGAGCAGAACAGAGTACAGCAGTAGAGAAGACAATAGTGTATGAGTATAGTGAGTCTAGTGAAATAGAATAGAGTAGAGAAGACTAGAGCAGAGCAGAGTAGAGCAGAGCAGGGAGAGAAGAGTAGAGTAGAAGAGGAGTAGGGTAGAGCAGGAGTAGAGTCTACCAGAGTAGGGTAGGGTAGGGTGGGTAGAATAGAGTCGGGTAGAGTAGGATAGAGTAGTACAGAGTTGAGTCGAGTAGGGCAGGATGTAGAGTAGAGTCGAGCAATGTCGAGTAGAGTCGAGCATAATGGAACAGAGTAGAGTCGAGTACATTAGAGAAGAGCATCTGAGAGGAGAGTAGGAGTAGAGTAGAGTACAATGGAGTATAATGAAGTAGAATAGATAGTAGAGAGTAGAGGGTAGAGAGTAGAGAGTAGAGAGTACAGAGTAGAGAGTAGCGAGTAGCGAGCAGCGAGTAGCGAGTATAGAGTGTAGAGTATAGAGTCGGAGGTGAGGGGGTGAGATCGAAGTGGAACGGAGAGCCCCCCTACCGGGAAATCGATTTCGGTTTCGTGTTCGTGCGTGCCGTGCGTGCGGGCGAGGCGAAGCTGCGTGGGCGGGCGAGAAGAAAGTCTCCTGTGGCTGAGGCGCGGCCGGACCAAATGTCTCCCTTCCGGGGGCCGGTGGCCCGCGGTGGCCCGCGGTGTCCCGCCGGTGTCCCGTGTGGCTGAGGCGCGGCCGGACCAAATGTCTCCCTTCCGGGCGGCCGGTGGCCCGCGGTGTCCCGCGGTGTCCCGCGGTTGCCGCCCGCGGTGCCCCGCGGTGTCCCGCGGTGTCCCGCCGCGATGATGATGATGATGATGATGATGATGATGATGATGATGATGATGATGATGATGATGATGATGATGATGATGATGATGATGATGATGATGATGATGATGATGATGATGATGATGATGATGATGATGATGATGATTGATGATGATGATGATGATGATGATTGATGATGATGATGATGATGATGGATGATGATGATGATGATGATGATGATGATGATGATGATGATGGTGATGGTGATGCTGATGATGATGCTGATGATGATGCTGCTGCTGATGTGCTGATGCTGATGATGATGATGCTGATGATGATGATGCTGATGATGATGAGGAATATGATGATGATGATGATGATGATGATGATGATGATGATGATGATGATGAAGATGATGATCGAGTGAGATCGAGTGTGATATATATCGAGTGAGATCGATTGTGAGATCGATTGTGAGATCGATCGAGGGAGATCGATCGAGCGAGACCGATACTGAGATCGATAGTGAGATCGATAGTGAGACCGATCAAGTGAGACGTTGGTTCCTCCCCCCCCGAACCTCCTTATCACCCGAAGGGTAGTCGTATAGGTATAGAGTATTGAGTAGATCAGAGTATATCAGAGTAGACTACAATAGAGTAGAGTAGAGTGGAGTAGAGTGGAGTAGGCGTAGAGTAGAATGGAGTAGAGTCGGAGTAGAGCAGAGTAGAGTGGAGTCAAGTTAGCCAGGTCGAGCGGCTCAGAGGGCCCCGCCTATCCCGCCCTCCCTCCCACAGCCTAAGAACCAACTGTGGCACAACTTGGAGTGGCACGTGCCCCCACACTCGCCACCGGAAGGCGCTCGCCCGCGGCCCCGCTCCCGACGGCCTGCGAAGGGGGAGAGCTGCCCAGGCATGGCACCGGCAGGACTTCCGATGGGCGCGGCGAAGACGAACTCTAGGGGGGAACAATTCGTGGGCATTCCCCCGCCCCCCCATAGTCAGAGCTGGCACGTGCGAGGAGGACTGCGGTCGCAGCGCAGCTCGTTCAACCCACCGCCAACACCGATCATGTGGGGGGGACATTGACAGAGGAACGTGGCACGAGTGTTCGCGAATTTTGCTCCGAGGCCCGACGCCTGCACCGCGCGAACTCAGCACCGCCGCGCTCACCGGCAGCCTGCGCGGCGCCCGGGCGAGGGCGCCATCTCGCCCGCTCTCGCGCGGCCCCCCGCGGCCGCCGTCGCCCTGCGCGCCGGTTCGGTGAACGAGCCGTGCGCCGCGCCCCTGCCTTCCTCACTGCCTCCCCACCTCCCTCTCCTCCTCCTCTTCCTCCTCCTCCTCCTCCTCCTCCTCCTCCTCCTCCTCCTTCTCCTCCTCCTCCTGCCTTCCTCGCGCCGGGACACCACTTACGAGCGAAATGCGCACGGATCTTCGGCGAGGGTCGACTGCACGTAAGAGTGGCCTTTCGCCAGAGTGACCTTTGGGTGCTGGCGCAGTGGGGCCCCCCGATTTCGCTGAACGCGATGCGACAGCAGCGGCTTGCGCGCCTGGCGGTGTCCCCAAAGGCCCCCCCCCCCTTGGCCGCGCACCAAAAGTCACCCTTGCCCACGGTCACTCTCGCGCGTAGCCGAGAGGGCGAAACGTCGCCCACTCGCGCCGCCCCGCTCCAAGTGAGCGAACGAGGAATAGGTGCACCGCGTCCAGGCGGGAGCGACACTCTGTCGTCGGGCGAAGCCTGCGCGGCGCGCCGAGGCGAGAGCGGCATGTCGGCCCGTCGTGCGGGAGGTGCGCCACGTCCCATTCTTGCCACGCTCTTTTGTAGCATCGGCGACAGACTTCCCATGCTGAGACGAAGATCGTCGATGTTGTACAGTGTTATGGTAGGTAGGACGGGGAGCCTTTTTGGTAGCATCGACGACAGACTTCCCATGCTGAGACGAAGATCGTCGATGTTGTTCGGTTTAATGGTAGGTACGACGGGGACCCCCAAGATGTGGCCCCTTTATCGGCTGGCTAAGTGGCGGAGCGGGAGTATATACCAAGAAGGACTAAGGATAGAGTAGCGTAGGGTAGGCTATAGAAGGGTAGGGTAGAGTATAGCAGAGTAGAGCAGGGTAGGGCGGAGCAGAGTCTGTCTCAGTCCCTCGCAGTGTGCTCCATTCCCTTATGCTTCCGCCCAGCTTCGAACCCCGACCCTCGAGGCTCGAGCCTCGAGCCTCGAGCCTCCTTCCCGCCGCTGCCCCTCCAGGCTCGGCGTGGACGCCCTTCTGCGGGTGCTGGCGGCGCTGCTGCTGGAGATGCGGGTGCTCGTCGTGGCGCGCCGCGTGCCCGACGGCTCCGCGGCCGTGTTCGGCCTCGGCTCGCTGCTGTGGCCGCTCAGCTGGCAGCACCTGCTGCTTCCGATCTGCCCGCTGGCCCTCCAGGACCCGGGGCCCACGCCGATCCGATCGGTCCGATTCGACATCGGCTCTGGCCGGCACGAGCCGATTCGACTCGGAGGTCCCAGCGCTGCGAGGCGGCCCGGTGCTTGCCTGGCGTTGTTGCCGATTCGATCCGATTCCGCTGCCGTGTCCACGTAGCCCGATCCCGCGCACATTCAGATGCCATCCGATGCCCCGAGTCGATGCTGATTGATCCTGCCAGGGCCCGAGCAGGAATGCCCAGAACTCCAGCGTCGCGGTCAACTCCATGCGGAACGTATTCGCAGTCTTCGGCTCGGCCTCTGGGGGCTCTTCGCCGGGCCCCGGGGCCGTCCAAACAGTACTCGGGACGAAGAGCTGGCCTTTGGGACAAGGTCCAGGCCCCTGGGGACCCCGCATGGAGCAATCCAAGATATCGGATGTCTGGGAAGATACCGATACTGCTGCCCTTCACTGGCTTCTGCTTTCCTTGGGGCCTCCTGGTCCGGGAGGCCCTCGTCGTCACGGCTGGATTCGATTCGGAATCTTGGCCAGAGCGCGCCCCGGGAGATGTCCGTGTAATAGTGGTATCGGTACGGTGGTGGCGTTCGTTAAGGAATGTGCCCAGGAGGCATCAGACCCTGGAGTATTCCTTATCTGGAGATGATGTTGATGATATCGATAGCCAAGCCTCAATTGGACTTTCATCAGTTTCCAGACCCTGGCTTCCTTATCCAGTGGTTCCTCTTCCAACGCCCTCACCATATCTTGTGGCTTCCCCACAGGACGCGATCATCGACGCACCGGTGCCTTGCAGAGGAGGGCGAGTGAGGCAACGGTAGTACTTGGCCTTCGGTGGGGGGCCCTCGCCCTCGTTGCCGCGGCGTGGCGCAGCTCGGGGAACTTGTTCGTTTGGACCCCGAGAGGAGTCCAGGGACCGATTGTGAGCCGCCTTTGCCTCAACTCGCCCTTTCTCCGATGGCGGCGCGCACAAAAGGGGGACAAACGACCCCGAGATCCGACGTGGCGAAACAGTTGCAGGCATCGTGACAAGTCATGGCCGGAGCCCCAGATCCTGTCTTTCTGCCACATGTTTCGAGTCGGACCGATTTGTGGTACAGTGGAATGGAAACCCATGCCAAGAAACACCCTGCTTACCTCCAAGGTGCCCTGGGTTTCTTGGGCTTCGATGGCTATGCGATGGACAGCGCGACGCTCCCACACCAAATAAATCCATGGACGCCCTGGGGCCTCAGGGTTGGCCTCCTCCTCCTCCGCCTCCTCCTCCTCCTCCGCCTCCTCCTCCTCCTCCTCGTCCTCCTCCTCCTCCTCCTCCTCCTCCCCCTCCTCCTCCTCCCCCTCCTCCTCCTCCTTCTCCTCCTCCTCCTTCTCCTCCTCCTCCTTCTCCTCCTCCTCCTCCTCCTCCTCCTCTTGTGGAAGGCTTCTTCTGGTCGAGCTCCTGCAAGCAGCCCCGCCGCCCGAGGCCGGGCGCAGACAGACGCCCCCGGTGCGGAGAAATTTGCAGCGCCCGGATCTCAGGGGAGAGGGAGGCAGCCTCTCAGAGGGGGAGGGGGAGGGGGAGGAGGAGGAGGAGGAGGAGGAGGAGGAGGAGGAGGAGGGGGAGGGGGAGGGGGGGGAGGAGGAGGAGGAGGAGGAGGAGGAGGATGAGGAGGAGGAGGAGGAGGAGGAGGAGGAGGAAGAATAATAATAATAATACTATTAATAATAATAATACTATTAATAATAATAATGCTAATAATAATAATAATAATAATAGTAATAATAATAGAAGTCATAAGAGTAGTAAACATAAACATAATAATGATAATACGAATGATAATAATAATACTAATAATAACAATACTAATAGTAGTAGTAGTAGTAGTAGTAGTAGTAGTAGTAGTAGTAGTAGTAGTAGTAGTAGTAGTAGTAGTAGTAGTAGTAGTAGTAGTAATAGTAATACTAATACTAATACTAATACTAATACTAATACTAACAATAATCATATTAATAATGATAAGAATCAGAAGAAGAAGAAGAAGAAGAAGAGGACGGGGGGGAGGAGGAGGATGAGGAGGAGGAGGAGGAAGAGGAGGAGGAGGAGAGGTTTTCGGGTGCTCGGCGCGCGAGGGTTTCGAGGATTCTCGGCAGCTCCCCTCCGTTCTCCAGCTTCTCTGGGGTTGCCCGACGGCCGCTGGGGAGGCCTGAAGTGAGGCCCGACAATATCACCAGCGGACCCCCTCGCGTCTCGACAATAAAAAGAGTTCACGGCGGAGGGTTTGGGGCCATGTTCGGCCTCGGGGGGCCCTCGCTGAGCCCCCGGCCGGCTGTCCAACGAGCCGGTCCCGGGGAAGTGGTCTGGACCTCTCTCTGGGGGTCCGCGTTGCGAAGAAATCATGGCATCGGGGGTTTGGGATAAGGAAAGGGGGGCTTCTTTCCTGGACCCACGTATGCTGGAAGCGATGGGAACATCAGCTACACGAGTGAGCCGAGTCTCGGGCCCCTTCGTTGCGACCCCCTGGTCGTCTGACCCGACCTTCGCAGCTGAGAGCGGCTCGATGCAGTGTGGGCCTTGCCCTGTTGGAAGGCGGGGGCCTTGAGGAGCTCGCCCTGCTCCTTCTCCTCCTCCTCCTCCTCCTCCTCCTCCTCCTCCTCCTCATCCTCCTCCTCCTCCTACTCCTCCCCATCCCCCTCCCCCCTCCTCCTCCTCCTCCTCCTCCTCCTCCTCCTCCTCCTCCTCCTCCTCCTCCTCCTCCGTGGGGAGTGGCGCCCCCTCGGGCGGCTTGGGGCGGCACGATGGTGTCGTTATCTGAGCCCTACGGGGCGGACGCAGCTCGGAAAACCGTGTGGTAGGTGGCGAGCTTGCTGGCCCTGCGAGTTAGGGGGAGGTAGGAGTTTTGCTGCTGCGGTGGGCTGAAGACCCCCGTGACGGCACAGTGGCATGTGGCTGCAGTTGCTTCTCTTCTTCTCCCTTCCTCCTCCTTGGCCCGTTTTGCGGAGGCCGCCTGGGGACCGTGCCTGGTGGGAGGCATGGGGCGGCACCCAACGCGGTGTCGTTTCGCGGAGAGCTCGCGTGCAGTCGGCGTCACCTGCCGCTTGCTTGCGCTCCTTTGCCCCTGATGATCGCGGTGACAGCGATTGAACTGGCCACGTGTGTGGCATCGCAGCATGATCCAGCATGATCCTCCTCCTCCTCCTCCTCCTCCTCCCTCATCCTCCTCCTCCTCCTCTCCTCCCCCTCCCTCTCCCCCTTTTTTTTTCCTCCTCCTCCTCCTCCTCCTCCTCCTTCCTCATCTCCTCTTCTTCCCCCTCCCCTCCTACTCCTCCTCCCCTCCTCCTCCTCCTCCTCCGCCTCTCCTTCCTCCTCCTCCTCTCTCCTCCTCCTCCTCCTCCTCCTCCTCCTTCCTCCTCCTCTTCCTCCTCCTCCTCCTCCTCCTCCTCCTCCCCCCCCTCTCTCCTTTTCCTCCTCCCCCTCCCTCCGAGGAGCCCTCTGGGGAAGCCTCCGGCACTGGCCAGGAAACGTTCCTCTGCCTTCCCCCCCCCTTCCTGGAAGAAGGCTGCCCGCCTTGCGCCGCCCCCCCCCCTGTGCTGAGGGGCGACGACCGTCAAAGGAGGAAAAGGTACCCCCATACCTCTGCCCTTTCCTCGTTTTCCCCTTTTTGGGGCCTCCCGGGAGGCTCTCGTCGCCACCGCTGGATTCGCATCGAAATTCTGGTCAGAACGCACCCCAGGAGAGGTCCAGAGAGCAGCGGCATCAGTACCGTTTCGTCTCCCCAGACAGGAGGGGATAGGCACAGGGGGGGATGCATCGACCCCCAATCGCCCGTCGACGCTGTCGGGGGCCCATCGCCGATCCATTGGCGATGCAGCGCCGATTCCAGGTCGATGTTTCCCCCCCCCCCCCTCCCTGTCGTTGCCCCTCGTGTGCGCGCCGCCGAGGTGCCGTTCCTGTGCGCTCTGAGGGAGGCGTCGGAGGGCGCCAACGAGAGCTTCCCATAATTAGCCTCCGATCCTCGCGGG